AGTCCGTCGAACAGTTCTCCCTCAGGATCGAACTCGGGCTCATCCATGGGGTCAATCCGAGGAAGCTCCAGACTGCGATCAAATGGAGGAGAACTTGTCCCGGAGTTGAAATAGTAGCTCCCGCAACAGATGATGAGACTACATGCGGTGCAACAATGGAGTCCTTTTGAACCTATTTTCTATTAGGCAGGCGGTGGCCCTTTCTCACATATGAGTGTAAGTATCGACGAGGTTGCGTCCTGGATCTCGCCCCGCTATAAAAAATGATAGAAGTCGAATACTAACTCAAAGAAGGAGAACATTAAGAAAACAAACACTTCTTTTTATTATCATTAATAAAGGACGTACAGTAAGAGCTGCTGCTAGCGCCGCTACAGAAGTAGTAGTAAAGGGATGGAACCAAGAACCCCTTCAAGCTCCATACATGGAGCCTCTCGGGACTCTTGAATGGGCTCAACGACCTGTACTGCAGAACACAAATACCCCGGCCTTGTAGCAGGCCGACGGGTCCTGCTACGAGGATGTCGTGGGTGAGAAGCTGTGGAGAGCTGCTCCATGACCCGTTCGAACGTATCTGATATCCGAGTCAGGAGCTTCTCCCTAGAAATTAGATTCTGTCCTCTCATGGAGGAAACTGCTCTGATGATTTCTTTCGTCAGAAAACTCACAGCAGAATGGTCAAACTAGACAGTGGCTTGAAAAGAACTCATATTGCGAGGCGGAGAACACCTCCGAGCAATTTTGGCGGGGACGTGGTCTACACAACCAGAAAGAGTAGCAAATTGATTCTTAGCCAGAGGAATCGAATAACCTACCTGGGCTGGAACCAGAACAACAGAGGGAACTTGCTGCCAGATATGCAATAACCTGTTCCTGGTCCTCTGGGCCCTCCTGCCAAGCTTCGGAGCGGAAGTAGCCTCAGAGGGACCCGAAGCGACAGGCGCCGTACCCGTGACAGGGACAAGATTTTGAAGACTCACCTACCGAAGGCAAGGAAAGTTGTGAAAAAACGGTGGAACGGCTCGATAGCCTGAAGAAAACTGAAGGGCGTTGCGGCGCATCGCTAATGGGGGAGGTGAGGGGGGTTCGATGCGAGCCACTGCAGTAGGGACAGCTCAATATGCACGACTCCCCTTTTGATGGGGAGGGCACAGAGCGGACGCCTCAGCGGGCGTAGGATTACCTATGGTTATCCATACGGGGTGCTTGAAAGAACTGAAGGTGATAGTATCTTCAGCTGGTGTAAGTGGATTTTCTATATTAATGAAACTTTGATGGAATGGTAAGACATTATAAGGCTCAATTAATTGCTAATTGCATACTCAAATTTTTAAAATAGATTACTTAGTAACGTTTACTCTTTCAACTAAATTAAATGCCGGAAGGGACTATTATTTGTGGTTGTCAATCTTGATTAGGAATTATACCAATAATGTCTTCCTTAATGGCAACTTTTACAAAGAGTATATGTGAGCCTACCTTCTAGTTTTTGGATGGGAAAATGTAAAAAAAAATTGTATGCAAATTAAATAAGTTTATTTATGGGATTAAAATAATGACCTAAAGCCCATTCTGAATGCTTCACAGTAATCATTATGAATAATGGATACAGTTAAAGGGAAAGCTAATCATTCTTTACTTTTCAAATATGCATATGATTGAAAGAAATTCATTCTCATTGCATATGCTAATGAAATTATCTTAATTGATGATGACTTTAATGAATAGAAAAATAAATAAATATTATAAGTGAATTTGAAATTATGGATCTTGGACCGCGCAAATATTCCATCAAGATTGAAATAACTAGAAAGAGTAAAGTATACTCATGTTATAAAAGAATTGTACATTTATTTATTGTTAGAAATAGTTTGTTTGGTGTAAGCTAGCTAAAGCTAATATTGATTAAACATAAAGGGGTTGTTTGGTAACAAGCTTTGAGCAAGATTTAACTCAAATCTTGCCAAAGAGTAAAAATGAACTAAAATCCTATAAGATATTAAATCTTATGTCTCCCCAAGTTTAATGTGAATCTCAGAGTACCAATCCGAGCATTTGACAGATTTTAATTTAAATATGTAGCTTTTTTTCATGAGATCACATAATCTTTACCGTTACATGTGTTTGTTTCTATTGATTCCTTGTGCTGGCGAGCTCCCATTGAAATTTCCCAACCTTTGCTTTATCATGGAGGGTTTCAAGAAATGGGTAAAGAGTGAATGGGAGATGATGAAAGTTAAGTTTATAATTCATAATTTATCATTTTATTTTGTATAAATTTATTTCTTTTTATATTATTAAATATTTTTTTGTCAAATATATATTCTAATTGATTCATGTAATTTTGATTTTTATATATTAATATATGATAAATAGACCTATATTAAGAAAATAATTTTCATTGATAACTAAGCCTATAATATGATTGATATTAAATTATAATTGTATTATTATCTTAATATTTCAATTTGTGGTGACATAATAAATAAAAATTGTATTTAGAGTAAATAATTAAACGATAGTGAATAATTAGCCTTAAATCATCTTATTTTTATTAATTTTATACATTTCTTAATCAACAATTATCATTACTTGTTTAATCACATTAGTTTGAAGTAAATTGTAGGATAACTAATTGTTCTTTTATCATACTCTAATTATCTATGGGATATTACTATCTTTTGAATTTTTATCATAATTGAAGATGACTTGTAATGGATAGAAAAATAAAATAAAAATTATAAGTGAATTTGAAATTATGGATTTTAGACAACTCAACTATTCCCTCAAGATTGAAGTAACTTGGAAAAGGAAAGGTATGTTATAATAGAAATACACATTTTATCTATTGATAGAGACAGTTTACTTGGTGTAAGCTAGTTAAAACTAATATTGAGTAAACATTAAAGGGTTGTTTGGCAGCAAGTTTTGAGCAAGATTTAACTCAAATTTTGCTGAGTAAAAATGAACTTAAATCCCACAATATTAAATCTCATTTTTCCCCAAGTTTAATGTGAATCTTTGAGTTATGAATACCGACATTTGACAGGTCTCTTAAATATGTAGCTTCTTTTCTTGAGATCACAAACTCTCACCTTCCCAAGGGTTTTTTTCTGTTGATACCTTTTGCTGGTGTGCTCCCATTCAAATTTCCTATCTTTTGCTTTATCATGGGGGGTTTCAAAAAAATGGGTAAAGAGTGAAAGGGGAGATGATGAGAGTTCAATTTATAATTGGCTATTTATTATTTAATTTATTTATTTTTGAATTTTTGATATTATTACATAAAATTTTGTCAAATATATATTCTAATTGATTCATGTTTTATTGATATTGATATAATTAATATAATAAATTGACATATATTATGAAAATAAATTGCATTGATAATTAAGCCTAAATTGTATTAATTTATAATTGTAGTATTAAATTAATATTTCAATTTATGGTAATATAATAATTAAGAATAGTATGTAGAGTAAATAATTAAACCATAGTGAATAACTCAACCATAAATTATTACTAATTTTATCAATTTTTGAATCAACACTTACCATTTCTTGTTTAATCCCATTAATTTGAAGTAAATCGTAGGACATCTAATTAATATTTTATTATACTTTGATTATCTATGGTAATATTATTATCTTTTAAATTAATTAATAGTTAATTATCTTGAATTAAAAATTATACGAGAACTGAAGAGGTGCTTCAGTAGAAAGGTGAAAAGCTGATATATTCATCTTAAAAAAGATTATATATTTCTTTTGCTTTTAGTGTAGTAAATCAGTCCATGCATTCTTCTTCTAAAAAGCATCTGAAGTCTGTTATAGGGATAGGATATTGAGGCAATAATTTACACTCGAGAACAGTTTATGACTTGAATAAGGAACATATTATGATTATTGAGGAATTCATATATTTAGATTGGGCAATACTTACTCTTGATGACTGGAAATTCACATTGTGCTGTAATATGATATATGGAAAGCTTCTCATTTGGAAAAGCAAGAAGCAATCTATTGTCATCGGTAGTATTACTGACTTTGAGTTGGTGAGTTAGTCTGACAAAAATGCATGATGGAAGAATGCAAAATATGTATCCAATGAAGTTTTGTTGCAATAAAGCAGCGATCGACTTTGCACACAAGCCTATTAATCATGATTGAATAAAGCAAGAACACGGTCATATCAAGGAATGAATTAAGAAAGAGGGCATCTATATGTCTTATGTTCTTACACCAAGTAATAGTCATGCCGACAAAAGGGTTCTCTAGATCAAGCCTTGAAGCATATGTTGGATAAGATTGGAATTATAAATATTTATTTTCTAGCTTGAGGTGGAGTGCAGAAAGCATGTTCAGTTTTACATTGCTCATGATTTTTCTAGTTTTAGTTTTACCTTCTTTACCTCTACTGCTTTAAAAATCCTGCTGGATTGGATGAATGAAATAACTAAGAAAAATCATTACCTATCTTTTCATTATTCATATAAAATATAGACTCCGATCATTCATGACTTTGAATTTTCTTATGTTTTTCTTACAAATGTTGCTTGGCTAACTAAATTTGGATTTTTTTTTGTTTTTTTTAAATTTGCTTCAGATGAGAATAATATATTAGCGTTTGTATGACTTTTTCCATATGAATGACTGCTGGACATATAATGTTCTTGAATGCACTGATTGAATGGCCTTGCTTCCAGTTGACACTATACTATACGGACATTTCTAAATTCATCGGATTGAAGGATTCGTAAATCTTTTATTTTTTCCGGGTTTCATTAAACTATTCATAAATTTATTGTCATGAGAATTGAGACTGCTCAACTTCAGCTTTTCTTTGTTTTTCATGCTTTGACATGGTTTTACCCTCTTGGAAATTTTCTAATTTCTACCTAGTTGACAATTCATCCTATTCGACTACACTAAAAGTCAAATTATATGATTTGTCAGTTTGGTTTGTAGCCTTGACTGACTGATAAATAACTCTCTTAACAGCCCCTGGATCTTCTGTTCCTGGTTATTTACCTCCCGAGGGTCCTGCTTTAGCATCTCACCACTCATGGAATCATGATTTTTCTCGAGCAACTTCTTCCGAGTTTCTTCGAAATGATGTATGTGTTTACTCAATCACAATTAAAACATTCTATGTTTAATAAAAAGGGCTTTACATACATAGCACACCATTCTTTTGTATTTACATATCTAGCACCTAAACATTGATATTTATATGCATACAACTCAAATCTTTAATATCACATCAAAATACCACCATCGCCATCTTTTTAAAGGTAAGATACTCCTTTTCGTGCATAGGCTAATGACACCAAGGTGTTACAAGTGTAAAAATAAGGTGTTACAAGAAGGTGTTACAAGTGTAAAAATCAAACTTTGGGTGTTAGATATGTAAATACATAAGAATTGTGTGGTATGCATGTAAAATTGCCTTAATAAAACTACAGATACTAACACTTCTACTGGCTATGGGCAGCTACTGCAATCTAGACCTGGAGGTTATGCTGTAGATGGTCGTGCAGGAGTTGGCAGTGAAAGTGTGCCAGGACACATTGGATTGCCTATTGCAAGGGGATATAGTCCTTTGGAGGATCCAGCTTTACTTAGAAGGGATGCTGCGTTAGGAATCAAGCCTAGCCTCACAGATATTGAGCGGCCTGAAGCATTTAGAAAATCTGAGGGGCTATTGTTGGATGAATCCAATGTCCTATCTGTTGATGGTTTGCCAAGAGATTGCACAAGAAGAGAAGTAGCTCGTATCCTTGCTTTTGGCATTGTTTTTTTTTCTTTGACTGTTAAATAAGCATTACTTGAAGTTATGTTTAAGTTAATTCCTTATCTTTCTGAAAGATCTGTTCCGACCTTTTGTTGGTTTCAAGGAAATTAGAGTTATTCACAAGGAGCCTAGACATGTAAGTACAAGACAAATTTTTTTCTTAATGCTATCATATTTTTTGTTCAATGATGCTTCAGTGATGGATGCAGCACTTTAACTACTTTTTTCTTTGTCCGTACGTCTTTAAAAGTATCTGTTTCTGATTTTTTTTTCTTTTTAATATCATTGATTGTACTTAAATGTCAAGTATCATTTAAGTTATGTTTGTGCTTAGTTTGTTTAGAAGATCTCAAATGGTAAGAATATAGTTTTGATTGATTTCTCGTTACTGTATTTTGCCATCACTCTGAGGCATGTTACTGAAAAGGAAATCGTGCTTTATTAATTGTCTTGTCTTGTTTTATATTAAATCTTATATTTGCAAGTTAAATAATTTCGTTCCTCACAACTTATTGAATCTAAAATTGTTATGCAAAAGCCTGCAATGTTTTTCTAGGCCACAGTGACTCAGTTATCTATTTGTGTTATGAAAGATTTTATTTATCTCATAAAGAATTACACTAACAAGTGTCCGAAAAAAAATAAATGTTAACAGTCAACTTTCCAAGTTTTTGGCTGCTTACATCTACTATCATATGCAGTTGGTTGAAAAGTATTTTGTCAATAAGTTGCCATTCAATAATAATATTCATGCTGACCAAACGTTAAGGATTATGTCATGAGCTTATTCACTTTTGACTTCATTTTGCATTATGACAGGTTATTTTGTAAGCGAACTGTACTAATCAAATATTCCCCTCATTGAGAACCATAAATTGATGTTTGACTTTTAAGATGTGCCATTAGATGCATTGGCAAATTTCGCTAAATTTGTCTCTTCAATACATTTCATGGTTTTTAAAGCTTCATTTTGCAAATGTATTCTTAAAATAATTTTATGATAAATTTGAGCCACGGTTACTTATAAGCCACTGTTATAAAATTGATCTGGTGGTTATTTTCTTAGCCACCAAAAATAATGGCAAAGTATACTCCCTACTTTGATCAACTGTATGTAATGAAAAAGGTTGATCCTCTAAAAAAACGTTCTGTCGAGATGTGACTGAGATGAAAATAAAGTTGTGAGAATTAATTCTAATTTCGTTAATTAAGGAAATTAGAATTAATTGATAAATCCCTTAAATTAAGGAAATTAGAATAAATTTGTAATCCCTTAAATTAAGGGAATTAGTTAAATAGTTTCCTAGTTTTTCTCCTTTTAATCTCTTATATAATACCTTGTATGATCAATTCAAAGAATAAAGAGAAATACATATTATTTCTTTGATTTCCCACATGGTATCAGAGCGCAGGCTCAAACCCTAGAGGACACCGCCTGTTGCCGTCATTCGATCCTTCCGGTTAGGGTCGGCTCTCTTCGATCTGCCGTCCATTCTCTCCACTTCGTCCGATAGGAGCAGCACGTTGCCGCTTCGCTTCGTCCGAGAGGAGCAGCACGTTGTCACGAGGAAGATCGTTTTTTGCCGCTAATCACGCAGATCTGCGTTCTGCAATCTTTGCCATTGAAGTACTTTGCGCTGCTTGCCGCTGTGTGGTCGCTGCAGAGCTTGCGATCTTTTTCCGTTGTTTGCCGCTGCAATCCTGTGCCGCAGATCTCGCGATCTTTGCCGCTGTTTGGATTCTTTTTATACGCTACCTTAATTGTTGCGATTCTTTTATCCACTGCAGGTTTATTCTAGCCTTAAATGCTGCAAATTTTTCTTCTCCACCATGTCAATGTCCGAAACCACTATCTCCAACTACTCCAACTATTCTGAAGAATACAATACTGTTCAGAAACTTCTGAAGAATACAATGTTGTTCAGAAAATTGGAGAGTTGCAGAAAATTCGGGCATCCAACAGGTTCAATGGGAATAACTATCTCAAATGGTCTCAAATTGTCCGCACATACCTAAAAGGCAAAGGGAGGATTAATCACCTACTTGGAACCGGACCAGAAAAATGGGGTCCAGCCTCTACAGCATGGGAAGAAGAGCCCATGATTATGTCCTAGCTATGGGATTCTATGGACCCAACGATCAGTGACGCTTGCATGTTCTTGAACACCGCAAAGGAAATCTGAGATTATATCAATCGCATGTACTCGAAAGCCCACCGCACATACTTGAAAGCCCGCGATGCTGTCCTTGTGTATGAAATCAAGGAAAAAACTAGAGCAATCAAACAAGGAGATAAATCTATCACAGAGTATGAAACAAGGAGACAAATCTGTCACAGAGTATGCAACTCTGTTGCAAAATCTTTGGCAGGAACTGGATCACTATCGAATAATTGAGATGAAATGTCCTGATGATGCTGCCACTTTGAAGAAGTTCATTGAGAAGGATCGGATATATGATTTTTTGGCAGGATTGAATCCTGAATTTTATCATGTTAGAATCCAAATCCTCGGCAAAGAGGATACACCGTCTCTAGAAGAGACAATCTCATTAATCTGAGCAGAAGAAAGTCGGAGGAGTGTCATGCTAGAACCACATACTATGGATGGGTCAGCCTTAGCAGCAAACATAAATCAGGAGAAGTCAAAGAACGATAACCAAGGGAAGGAGAATAAAAACAATCTTTGGTGTACTTATTGCAAGAAACTGAGGCATACAAGGGAAAAGTGTTGGAAGTTAAATGGTAAACCTCCAAGCCGAGAATGGGGCAATCGTGGGGAGAAACAAAGCAATATGGCAGAGCAACCCAATATTGAGGAAAAATCAACAATAGGAGGATTCAGCATTCAACAGTGAAGAAGTTGAAAAGTTGAGAAGCTTGTTAGGATCTCTTGAGAAGCCTTCTGGAGCATGTTTGATAGCTCTTTCAGGTAAAACTGTTTGCATGAATGTCTTAGACAAATTATATACCAACTCTTAGATCATTGAATCCGGTGCTACTGATCATATGACCCCCACACCTCACAACTCTTTCATTCCTATCCCCCCTGTCCAAGTAATAGAAAAATTATCATGGTCAATGGCCCTTTAGCTACCGTTGCAGGGATTGGTGATATACACATCACACCTAGCCTTATCCTGAAAAACGTTCTCCATGTACCCAAACTATCAACAAGCCTTATGTTCATTCAAAAATTGCATCATGATCTCAAATGTTATGCTATTTTTTTTCCTTCTTATTGTGTTTTTCAAGAACAGGACTCGGGGAGGAGGATTGGACTTGCTAAGGAAAGGAGCGGTCTTTACCACCTTGAATCATTCCAGAAAAGCAAGAGCAATTTGTCATTATCTTTCCTTAGTTCCTCAAACAAAGATGTCATTTGGTTGTATCACTTACGTTTTCATTTGGTTGTATCACTTACGTCTTGGTCATCCCTCTTTTAGGGTTCTAAATATAATATTTCCTCATTTATTTCAAGGATTAAATATTTCTGAGTTTCATTGTGACATTTGTGAATTGGCAAAACATACTCATGTATCTTTTCCTATTAGCAATAAAAGAAGTTCTCATCCTTTTCATCTGATTCATAGTGACATACGGGGTCCTTCCACTATATCTAATGTTTTTGGGGCTCGTTGGTTTGTTCTCTTAATTGATGATTGCACTCAGGTTACATGGCCCTTTCTTCTTAAACAAAGATCTGATGTTAGCACAGTTATACCTAACTTTCATTCAATGGTTCAAAATCAATTTGGGGTCAAAATAAAAGGCTTTAGGACATACAATGCTAGAGATTACTTCAAGGGGATTCAACAGTGAAGAAATTGAGAAATTGAGAAAATCATTGGGATCTCTTGAGAAGCTTTTTGGAGCATGTTCGATAGCTCTTTTAGGTAAAACTATTTGCATGAATGTCTTAGATAAATTATATACCAACTCTTGGATCATTGACTCTGGTGCTACTGACCATATGACTCCCACATCTCAACTCTTCCAGTCCTATACCCCCTGTCCATGTAATAGAAAAATTATCATGACCAATGACTCTTTAGCTACCGTTGCAGGGATTGGTAATATACATAGCACACCTAGCCTTATCCTGAAAAACGTTCTCCATGTACCCAAACTGTCAACAAGCCTTGTGTTCATTCAAAAATTGACTCATGATCTCAAATGTTATGCTGTTTTTTTTTCTTCTTATTGTGTTTTTCAGGAACAGGACTCGGGGAGGAGGATTGGACTTGCTCAGGAAAGGAGCGGTCTTTACCACCTTGAACCATCCCAAAAAATCAAGAGCAATTTGTCCTCATCTTTCTTTAGTTCCTCAAACAAAGATGTCATTTGGCTATATCACTTACGTCTTGGTCATCCCTCTTTTAGGGTTCTAACTATAATGTTTCCTCATTTATTTCAAGAATTAAATAATTCTAAGTTTCATTGTGATATTTGTGAATTGGCAAAACATACCCTTGTATATTTCCTATTAGCAATAAAAGTTCTCATCATTTTCATCTGATTCATAGTGACATATGAGGTCCTTCCACTATACCTAATGTTTCTGGGGCTCACTAGTTTGTATCCTTAATTGATGATTGCACCCGGGTTACATGACTCTTCCTTCTTAAACAAAAATCTGATGTTAGCACAGTTATACCTAACTTCCATTCAATGGTTCAAAATCAATTTGGGGTCAAAATAAAAGGATTTAGGACAGAGACATTTAGGACAGACAATGCTAGAGATTACTTCAATCAAATTCTTTCACCTTATTTTCAATCACAGGGAATTATCCATGACTCATCATGTGTGGACACACCCCAACAAAATGGGGTAGCTGAAAGAAAGAATGGGCATTTACTCAACACCACCCGAGCCTTGCTCTTTCAAGGGAATGTTCCTAAGTCCTATTGGGGAGAAACCGTTCTTACTGTCACACACATGATCAATAGACTTCCCTCCCGTGTGTTAGAAAACAATAGCCCCATAGAGGTCCTAAATAACTTCTACCCTCACTTCAGAACCTCAAATGGCCTCACTCCCAGGGTATTTGGGTGTACTGCCTTTGTTCACGTCCACAAACAACATAGAGGGAAGCTAGATCCCAGAGCCATCAAATGTGTTTTCCTAGGTTACTCTTCCACTCAAAAGGGATATAATTGTTACAATCTCTCTACCAGAAAATTTTACATCTCTACAGATGTCACTTTCACAGAAAATATATCCTTTTTTTCCAAGTCCTCTCTTCAGGGGGAGATTTTCATGATGGAAGATAGTACTTGTGAGCCCTTTGAACCACTTAAAACCCTTGATCTGCCACATGTGCCAGCCCGTGTTGTTGAACCTAGATCAAACTCTCCTACTATTCCAGCTGAACCCGAGTCCTCTGAACCAATCACATCTTAGTCACTTGATCCTGAACCCTTATCATCTCCTACTCCAACCAGTGTCACTAATGATTTTCCGAGATTTCCTCAGGTGTATTCAAGGAGAAAGGCCATTCCTGAACTGACACAAGTCCAAGAATCCAATCCACTCTATCCACTATCTCACTATGTATCTCTCAAGCGCCTATCACCAGCCCACAAAAGATTCATTGTGAGTTTGAACAACATTATCATTCCTAACAATGTGTCTGAGTCATCTGAAAATTATTCCTGCAACAAAACTTTCTGCCTATGAAAGAGGAAATGAGTGCTTTAGAAAAGAATCCCATGGGAGGGTCCTATGAAGCTCTACTGTGACAACAAGTCTTCCATTAATATAGCTCATAATCCTATAATGTCTTCCATTAATATAGCTCATAATCCTATACAACATGATAGGACAAAGCATATTGAGATTGATAGACATTTCATCAAAGAAAAACTGGAGGAAGGGTTAGTGTGTATGTCCTATGTTCAATTAGCCGATGTTCTAACAAAGATGCTGAACAGTTCAAGTTTTCATGATCTTGTATCCAAGCTGGGAATGGAAGACATCTATTCCTCAGCTTGAGGGGGAGTGTCGAGATGTGACTGAGATGGAAATAAAGTTGTGAGAGTTAATTCTAATTTTCTTAATTAAGGAAATTAAAATTAATTGGTAAATCCCTTAAATTAAGGAAATTAGAATAAATTTGTAATCCCTTAAATTAAGGGAATTCGTTAAATAGTTTCCTAGTTTTTCTCCTTTTAATCTCCTATATAATACCTTGTATGATCAATTCAAAGAATAAAGAGAAATACAGATTATTTCTTTGATTTTCCACACGTTCCAATGCTTACTTATGGATTCATGAGAAAATTTTCTGGTCTTTACCGGTCTCTGAAAATAAATTTCCTCAGTATTTGCGATTAAATTGACATACCATGTCATCCTGAATATTTCTTATCAACCGTATCAATCAAAATGTCTATTCAATTTTAAAGCTGGTTCCCATGGTTTGGTGAAGTCTTTGCTGGGTCAGCGGGGTTACGCTTTTAACTGTTTTAATGTACTTGAAGCTAGTGGTAATAAGGCATCTCAATTGCATGGAGGAAATTAAGGATGGGGGATAGCAGTGAACAAGAATGGGTTGGGTTGGGCGGTTTGGGTTGGAAAGGTGGGCTTCTTCCTCAGTCATGCATCACCTATTTCCTAAAAGCTATTCCGAATTCGTAGAATTGTTTCTTCTAATCCTAAATTTTACTTTTTTAGTTTTACAATCATTGGAATCATGGAGCATGGGGTCACTAACATTAACTGTTCATACTTCACTCCAACTGGCATGGTTTTTATTCCAAAAGCAATATGTATCCTACAGTCCAAATCATATTGTACTAAAACTTTTTCCTTGAGCAGATTCGACCAAATATATACAACTAAGTATTGACATGTATTTGGCATTTATTATAACACTTCATAACATGTGTGCATGCTCAACAACATTAATATATCGAAGTGCATAATGATTACAGTATATTACCATTGCCCTTGCTCCAATTCCAACTATTTGAGACTTGCTTTTTGAATATTCATTCTTCATTTTTATCCGTGTTTTATGAGGTTATAATTTATTATGCACAAATCTTCTTTTGCCAAATTTTTATCCATGTTACTCTCACTTCAGCCCCCCTTTCTAACTAATGATGCAACATTAATTTGTCTAATCTCATTAGTGCGAAGTCTACCACGTTATTTCATATTTGTGTATATTCTACCGTTTGATACTTGGCCTATCTTCTAAGTCTATTTATTACTTATCTTTGATAGATTATACTCCATGGCCCCTAACATAAGCATTTGTCAAACTATCTTTTAATTTTGGCCTCAATTATGATCGTGGTGTAATACTAATATTAAAAGAACTTCAATGATTAAAGGATGTATACAATGACTGAGCTTGTATTGTTCTGTACATGCTTAAGCAGATACTTATCTAGTTTATTTGGCAAAAAAAGCTAGTGGTAACACCTTATTTTAATGTAATTTTTACATGAATCTGTTTTAAGTTTTTCATCAATGATCCCTTGTTTTTTTTTTAAGTTTATGCACTATTTATGTTTCTGTATCCTGGAATTTCATTCTTATCCGATAGTCATTGAATGTTTACTTCTTTTTCATTTTTCTTCTTTCTTCAGATCTACAAATTATTTGAGAACTAGGTTTTTTTTTTTATTTTGCAAGGAAAGTATTAAAGAAATAAAGAAATACAAAAGCATCAGGGAGGGTGATTAGTTTATAGTAAACCGATGACACAGGGTAACTATCATTTCTCTCACCCGAGGTTTAGCTAACTATTGCTTAATTCATTGAGATTCGATAAAATATCAAATAATTTCCCCATGATATTTTTTTTTTCATATAAATCTGCTACTTTAATATTAAAATAAAAAAATTTTCCTTAACAAATATGATAGAAAAAGAAAATTTATTTAATATTTTACCAAATAAAAACCATATAAGCTCTTCAATCTCTAATTAACATATAGAAGATCTTTAAGTTGTTTCACGCATGAAAGCAGCAAAGAATATAAATGATTTGTTTAAGTTGTTTCATGCATGAAAGCAATAAAAAATGTAACGGATCACCACATGTGAGTTTGGTAGGGGTGAGCATTCGGTCTGTTTGGATGAATTGGTTTTAAAATTAGTCAAACCGATTATAACCAAAATCCATAATCCAGAAAACCGAACCAATGTAAATTTAGATAAAAAACTGAATTTAGTGAACTGAAATTTAATTCAGTTTAAATGGTTTGGTTATTAAAAAAACAAAATTTAATAGTTTTTTCAAATTTGGCTAAGAACAAACATTACGAATCACATATATTATTCACATAATATCAATTTGATTTAATGAATCCTCTAATTATTTCAACTAAATACTATATATAATAAATTTTTTAATTTTTTTAGTTTATTCCACATGAACTTAAAATATAATAAAAATTTTTAATAAAATTTTGATTTTTCAGTTTGTTCGAGACAATTAAAACCAAATGAAAAGCTGAAAATCAAATATTGAAGTTTTAAAAGCTGAAAACCGAAATTCAATTATGAAACCGAACTGAGTTGAACCAACCAAATTTGATCGGTTCGGTTCTGTTTTTTGATTTTGACCGAAAAATGCACACCCGGTATTGTCTAGATTTGTATGCAAATTTTCTGGTAGAATATTAATTACTCTTTCCATGATGTTTTTATTGCAAAAGATTCATTTTAATATTAAATTAATAGAAATGTAATTGAAAGGAGCTGCATGGTATTTTTTCAAATCTTAGCAGACTAATAATTAACTAAATCTACATGGCAGTTAATCATAATAATCCGATAAAAAATCTGTTTTTTGGAAGTCACTGGTTAGAGAAGATAATTCTGATTGGATGGTGCTTATTGATACTAACGAGTGTTTTGGTGGTTATCTAATAATTTTTGGCACAACTAATTATTATTTTGGTCCATGCAGAATGGTAAAAAATATTTTAGTCCCAGAATTTATTAGCTAGCGGGAGTTAAGTTTTGGCACAACTAATTAGTTCATGTCTGGTTCAGTTGAGAAGATATAACCAAGGCTTTATAGTCATAGGTCCTTCCACTTTTTGGTACAACTAATTATTTTTACCTGTCTGATATGATATGAAAATTCCATTAAAATCCTACTAAGTCCTTGCCGTAGTCTTCATTTGAATATAAAATTCTTCTGTTATTCTTTTAACTCTTAAAAACTAAATAATTCCAGTTAAGTCATAATGCTCAATTTCAAACATGCAGGTTGGAGATAAGGGTCATGTGCTCTGCTTTGTTGAATTTGATGATGCCAAATGCGCTCACACTGCACTTCAAGCTCTTCGAGGTTCAGTTTTAACATTGAAATCCTAATCTATGAATAATTTATGCGCGCTGATTCCTCTGGCCGTGCTAATTTAAATAGACTTCGTGCTAAAGAAAGTCTTGGCTCCATATTTTGCAGGCTATAAATTTGATGACAAGAAAGCGGATACACCGGTACTGAAGATACAATTCGCTAAATTTCCTCTTCCTCGTGGTGATTAGAAACATGGAATTGCACTGTGTAGGATTTCATAGATCCAATGGTATGTTTTAACTAGCATTATGGCACTGAGTCTATGGAGGTCATTCATCAGGCATGATAGAAAATGTCTTATTTTATCAGCTTTGTATCTCTGTTGAAGAAGTTAAATATTTCCTAATTGGGGATATGGCATTGATATGTCTGCTTGGTGTCTATTAATTGGTAGTTTGGAAGTGCAAGCCTTCAGGATTATGAGTGTTTTGGTGCATTTATGGTAATGAACTGGTATGAGGTGAAGAGTGCTGGATATTTGGATTGATTGGGATTTTGTTTCTGTTTTGATTCTATTATGTTTTATTGGCTAAAGCAAAGTCTTGGTACCGGATATATGTGGAGTGTCTATTGGCTACCAAAAAGGTTTTAGCAACTATGAAGCTTGAAGTATTATTAAAATTAGGGGGATTTTATATGCCAATGATTTTAAAAATTGGTCCTGAGAACCAATCCTTCAAATGATTCGGTTCAAGCTCACGGTAGCTTTTGCCTAAAATCGGGATTGAATCAAGTTGAATCGGTCTAATTTTTAAAGAACTGGCCGGTTCAAATACTATTTAATTTTTCATTTTATCTTGATCGGGATTGGTAAAAACAAAATATTTAAATTGAAAATGGAGAAAATATATTTTCTTAGAATTTTGATTTTGAATATTATTCAGAATATGTGAAATTATTTGAAATTAAAATATTAATTATTTAATTGATAAAAATGATATTATTATATTATTTAAATTATATTAAATATTTTTTTTATTCAATTCAATTCTGTTTGAATCATTGAATTTTGAGTCTCTCATGTTTGATATCTAATTAGATTTTCACAATCACATATATACATTTATTTATTTATATTTATTGGTCTTTTTTAACACTTAGACTTTTATATATAGTATTTAAATCTCTAAATCACATTAAGTATATAATTAGTGTTAATTTATTTATTATAAAATATATTTTTGTATTTTTAACTTTGATGTGATTTTGATAAAAATATTATATACACTGTTGAATCTGAATCTGTCTTATGAATAACACCAAGGAAATAATGTAAAATAAGAGAGAGAGTGCACAATAAAAAATGGTTTTATTGAGAATGAATGGTAAACACTTTGGTGTCAAAATTATCCCCTATTCAGGTAAGGAGATTTCAAATGTACAATTGCTTGCTTACCTCATCCCCGAGGGTGTTACATGATATTTTACGTATAAAATAAATGTGATATGGCTTGACCACCTTATATTTCGGCTGGTTTAGATTGGTAGTCCTTGGATCTCCAAGGTCTTCTTCATCTGCTATGTTGAGTGGGGCAGTCAGTCGGCTTTTGTTGTCTTTGATCGTTCGGGCCTTCACTTGATTGACTTGAGTTAGTTGGTCAGCTATTTTGGTTTGGGTATAGACTGCCGACCTCAAAATGAAGCGCTCCTATTTTTGGGAGGAGTTTAAGTTATTTCTGCAACCTTCAGACGATGTGTCCTTGGGCCTTGCCTCTGTGGGTCGTCCTTCACTACTCTTTTGTCTTTTAGGGCCTGTTTGGCGCAGCTGCAGATTCTCAACTTTTCAGCTGCAGCTGCGCGGCCCCTGGAAGCAGCTGTAGGGAAGCAGCTGTGGGAAAGTTGACTGTCTGTTTGGTGCAGCTGTGTGAAAAATATTGTGAGCCAGCTGTTAATGTAAAAATGACCAATCTGCCCCTGTCTGTTAAACTGTTTAAAATATTTCGATTTATTTTTATAAATCTGGGCTTAATATACATCAAGTTTATAAAAAATATTATTATTTTACTTAATTAAATGAACTAAATAGTTTTCAACATTCATTTTATACATTTAAAAAAAAAAGTGATTTGGAGCACAAATGAATAGGTTTAAAATTTTTCTTCATCTATATATCAAAGTATATGAATATTAATTCATCTCTACAAATAAAAATTTACAAACATATTTTATAAGCATAAAATGTAAAATACATATATGCACCTTAAGCCACTAAGAAGTCGTTCTTTCTTACATAAAGACGTAGGAACTCATACAGTTTC